GCATTCCTGGAAGTTACTAAAGTTATCAAAACAAAAACACTTTTAAACCCTTGGATCACGAGGGGCATTCTTAAATCCTCAAAAATAAAACAACGTTTATATAACAAGTTTCTTAAAAAAAAGGTCTTAAAAATGAAACTAATTACAAAACCTATAAACAGCTATATGAATCAGTTGTAAAACGCTCAAAGAAACAATACTATTCGGAACAATTATTTAAATACAAAAATGATTCGAAAAAAACATGGCAAACTATAAAGGAGGTAATCGGTAAAAAACGTTTATACGGAAATTTACTTCCGAAAAATCTTAACGTTAATAACAATCGTATTGTAAATAAATCCTTAGTGGCCGAAACACTTAATCAGTTTTTTGTAAATATAGGTCCTATTTTATCATCAAGTATAGCAACTTCTCAAATACACTTTAAGTCTTACGTAACGCAGAGACTTTTTGGGCTTTAACAAAGAGACGCAGTCTCTTTGTTAAAGCCCAAAAAAAGTGTAGGTTTCAATTCTATAAGTAGTAATGTTGTTATTAAATCGATAAAATACATCACAATTCTATTATTACATAATTTTAATTTATCTTTAAAACATGGTGTTTTTCAAGAAAACCTAAAAATTGCAAAAATCATTCCAATTTTAAAATCAGGCGATCCTTCTGAAGTTGCAAATTATCGTCCAATCTCAATTCTTAATTGTTTTTCTTAAATATTAGAGCGAGTTATGTATAATAGGCTTTATTCTTTTTTAAATGTAAATAATATTCTTTACCATAAACAATTTGCATTCAAATCTGGCCATTCCACCGATCATGCAATCATTCACCTTGTTCAGGACATATTTAAATCGTTTGATGAAGGCAAGTATACCCTAGGTCTTTTTATCGATTTAAGTAAAGCTTTCGATACAGTCAATCATCAAATCCTTCTATCGAAACTCAAAAGTTATGGTATAAAAAAATACTAACTTGTCCTGGTTCGAGAGTTAATTGACCAATAGGAAGCAGTATATAGTTTAAGATGAAGGAAAAACTAATTATGAGACAATTAAATGTGGTGTTCCTAAAGGATCAATTTTAGGGCCACTTCTATTTCTTGTTTATATAAACAATTTAAATAAACTTTCTAACATTTTAAATACAATTTTATTTGCAGATGATACCAGCTTGTTTTAATTCAATAAAGATATCAATATATTATTCCAAACATTAAACAAAGAACTAGACAAACTAAACCAATGGTTTAAATCAAACAAGTTATCTTTAAATATTACTAAAACAAAATACACATTATTCCATCGCCTACGTAAAAAATCAGATATTCCCTTAGAACTCCCAGACCTTTTTATTGACAATCAACTGATAAAGAGAGAGCAATCAATAAAGTTTTTAGGCGTGTTTCTAGACGAAAATGTAACCTGGAGGGAACACATAGGTGTAGTTGAAGATAAAATATCAAAAAATTTAGGAATAATGTACAAAGCAAAGCAGTTATTACATCGATCTTGTTTAAAAAACATTTACTTTTCTTTTATTCATTGCTACTTAAGTTATGCGAACATTGCTTGGTGTAGCACTAAAGCGACAAAAATAAAAAAATTGCTTAGCAACCAAAAACAGGCTATAAAGATAATTTCAAACGTACATCGTTTTTAACACACACAAACACTTTTTAATGAACTCAATATCCTAAATGTATATAAACTAAACCTCTATCAAGTTCTTATTTTCATGTTCAAATTTGATAAGAATATATTACCAATTTATATTTTATTCATTTTTTGAAAAATAAATTACATATACCCTACAAGATTTTCAAAATACAACTACATTTAATCCAAAACTTTATATTCCGCTACTAAATTCTCTATTGTAAACCGAGGACCAAAGTTGTGGAACATAATATTAAATAATGAAATGAAAACCAATTATTCTCTAAACCAATTCAAAACAAAACTTAAGCAATTACTTTTGTTAACTGAAAATGAATTAAATTTTTTCTAATAAAACTTCTTTATATTAGAAATCAATAATTAATAGTTAATTAATTAATTACTTTAGATTATTAATACATAATTAATCAACAATTGTACATATATTTTTATCATTTTAAATGATAATCTTCTTTTTGAGAAATTTATTTTTTATTTTTGCGTTATTTATTATTCTTTTACTTTTATCTTATACTGTTTATTTGCTTTTACTTAATTGGCAATAAAAAGTATTATAAACATAATTAAATAAGTTAAACTATAAAATGCGCTACCAATAAAATGTTTTTATATAAAGTCATATCTTCTTATTTTTTAAACCAAGTCTTAAATGTTATTTTTGTAATTTTAATATTTTATTAAATTTTGTTTCTTTTATTTTACAAAACAATTGTTAAATCTTATTCTTTGAAAATCTATAAATTTTAAACGAAATGCGATATATTTAAATTTTCTTTTATAATTTAAGTCAGAGATATATACATTGAAACTATATTTTATTGTTAAACTATATTTTGTGTAGTAATGACGCATTTTTTGGGGCTTAATGATAAGACTAAATTTGTCTTTTTCTAGCCCCGGTCATGTAATTATATTTTTTATAAGTTACGACTGTAAATTTTTTTTTATCGGCAAAAGTGTAAATAAATAAAACACAGAAAATAGCATCGTAGCAATAATATCAGTTTAGTTTATAAATGGGACATTTTAAGAAAGTCTCTTAACTTAGGTAACTATGCAAAATACACTGTTGCTATGGAACATAGGTATCCATAGCAACTAACTAAACAATTTAATAGTACCATTAAATTTGTAGTGTGAAACATACTCAACCTGGCAATTATGGGGAAAATCTGAATAATATTTTAAATGTTATCCCTTTTGTCCACCTAATAATGATTTTGGCCCACTGTGCATTGTTGCCGAAAAAAACTTTTTTACTTAGTTTAAAACTATAATAAAGTGGTTTTTATTACAGATACATTTTGGTCTTAAATCTTTTGAAATAGATCAATAACTAAACCTAAAACACTAAAAGCTAACTTAAAACAAATATATTCAATTTATTTTAAGTTTAAAATTAAATTCCTTGTAATTTTTACAGAAATTATAACTAAATTTTTACAGACATTATTAATAGATTAAGTGCACACGTCCAATTTTAACATTTTTAAATGCTATAGTTCAATAACTATAGCATTTAAATTAATCTAAAACACTAAAAGCTAAATATATTCAATTTATTTTAAGTTTAATTTTAAATTCTCTGTAATTTTAAAAATTAAACTAAGTTTTCACTGATATTAATAAGTATCATCAGTCGGATTTTTTACTTTTTTTTAATTTTAATTGCTTGTTTTTTGGAGTTTATATTTAATTACCCTTATTATTCCAAGAAATATTTTTGATAATTACTCATTAAAATTTTTATTAATAATCTTATTATTTATTTTGTGTTTCAATTAAATCTAATTTATTTACAGTATTACTTTTAATTAAGACGATCTTAATTAAACGCGTTGTGTATGGAGCGATATTTAGTGATTGTTACTAAAATACGGCGGATAATTGGGAATATGAACTCACAAACTAAATATTTTTTTTATTTAATTTAAGATATATAAATAATATTTTTAATATTAATGTTATTGACTATTGATGACGAGTATACTCGTTTTCTGTAGTGCGTATGAACTTTTTATATAGAATACGGAAAACAAGTATAGTCGTCAAAATAAAAATCCAATTGAGTTGCCTTATTACTGTTAAAATTCAATAAGAATAAAATATTGCTGTGAAAATATTAAACTTCTTCAGAAAAACTTTTTTTTCTTTCAAGTTTGCATGAGGTAAGTTTTTTTAGATTATTTTTTATTATTTTATTATTTCATTACTTTATTATTTTTCTTGATGTTTTCATTTTATAGTTTAGTTTACAAATTTATGTGAAATTTTTTCAAAAAAATATCATCTACGATGCAAATAATGTATAATACTTATATGTATATGTTATCTTTAAATCAATCATTTTTTTAATGGAAAAATATTCTAACAAAACCTAAAGTTTGAATGTTTACAATAAAAAGGGCTCTTTTTACTTAATTAAAGATAAAGTAAAATATTGACAAATACATGTTCTTACGTAAAAAAATAACTGATAGATGTTGCTTTAAAACTTTAAAAGCAAATTTGAAAAATAAATCCATCAGAAAAAAAAGTTATTAGAATTTAAACTCAAGCGAGTATACTCGTTGTCCGTACGCTAGGAGAGTTTTGGTCGACAAGTATATTCGTCATTCGTACGTAACTTGTTAATGGTAACATTTTTGTAAACATCTTTTTTACTTCTAGTAATAAAAAAGATGTTTACAAAATTTTATATTAAATAGATATTTTAAATTGATACTCAGCAACAAGACAGAAACATTTTCTTTCCCTTTTTTGTTGTTTCGGTCAATAGAATTTTTTACATATATGTAGGTTGTAAAACTTGCTTAAAGGCAAATTATAATGTTCGAAAAAAAAAAAACAGAATAAAAAGATGATTTTAATGTGTAATTATTTTTCCTTATCTATTAAGTCGAACAGTTATATTATGACTAACACAGTTTTGTTGTACTTAATTTGTTCGAAGTAGTGATCATGTCCAACTTTAATTTATTTAACTGCTAAAGTTTGTTAAATTAGTTTGATTTTTATTGTTTAAGTTTGAGTCTAATAATCATTAGAATGTTTCTTCATGACTAAATATTATTTTCTACTTGTTTTTTAAGTTGGTAAATTTAATGCTTTTATGTACCATTTTTTACGAAAGGTTGTTAATTATTCAGTAATTGAATATATTTTCAATTTGTTTATTGCTTGCATCATCACGTTAGTTTAGTCCCGTACACATTTGCTTTTGATGGTTTAATGGAAAAATATAAATATGAAGAATATTTTGTTGCTAACTTTGAATTGCTTTTTTTTTTTTGCTAATTATGTTTTTTGTTTTACTATATTTAGGTTTATATTTACATCCTGTCACTTGTAAGTTTTTAATTAACTATATTTCCAAACTGTAACACATTAACTGCAAGTGTGAATTCTTTTATTTTGCTTCTTTGATTCATTCCTTTTTTTATCTTTAGTTTCGTCAGCAACGGTTAGCCCCGGTAAATTTATCAAATTTTTACTTTTTTAATAGTTGTAAAATAAAGCAATCATTTTTTTACTTTTTTTTCTTCATACTTTTACTGCAACCACTTGTTTTATTTTCAGGCTGCAAATAAGGTTTTTTTATTTTTATGTTTTCTTTTGTTTATTTTTAAATAATCATTTTGCATTTTACTATTAAAAGAAATATTTAAATAAATTTAGCAATAAAAGTCCAAATATAAATGGCAAGGGCAAGAAGAAAACAAATTTGGTCTTTTTTCCATGCCCCTTAATATAAAAATTTCAATTAAAAAAATATAAACACAACATAACTTCGTTTAATTAAAACACAAATATTATGCCATGTAACATTTTAATATTTCCAGAATAAGTATATTTAAAAAGAATTATAAGAGGGTTTGAATTATTTTTCTTTATTTTTATTTTTTTTTTTTAATTTAAAAAGTTTGCCAATTTTATAGTATGAAAAAAGTGACAATTATGTTTTTGTATTAAATCAAATACCTAAAGTAAATAATTTTTAAAAGTTTAATAGTTTTTTATACAATGTGATTTATGTATATATATATATATATATATATATATATATATATATATATATATATATATATATATATATATATATATATGTATATATATATATATATATATACATATATATATATATATATATATATATATATATATATATATATATATATATATATATATATATATATATATATATATATATATATATATATATATATATATATATATATATATATATGTATATATATATATGTTTATATATATATATATATATATATATATATATATATATATATATATATATATATTTACATATATATATATATATATACATATATATATATATATATATATATATATATATATATATATATATATATATATATATATATATATATATATATATATATATATATATATATATATATATATATATATATATATATATTTACGGAAGTGTTATTTGACGCACTACAAAATATACAAAATTGCTGTTTTAGGTCGAAAAAAAAAACGCTAAAGTCGAAAAAGTGCGTCTAATCGCGCTCAAGTATATAAAAAAAGACAAGTGTTTGTGAATTTAAATAATATTCGCAACTTACTAATAGACATAAACCAAGTTTACCATTTTTATTTTTTAAATTATCAAGACTCATACTTACGGCTATAAGTCTTTGTTTTTCAAAATAATCACAGGTGATTTTGTTAATGTAAATTAAATAATAAAAATGGCGATACTTGAAATACCAATAGAAATGCTAAAGAAATCCAAGAAAAGAAAAAGTAAGGAAAGATTGCGTGAAATTATAAAGAAACAAAGATTATCATTGTATAAAACAGGGCTTGGATGTAACTGTATAAGGCTAAAATGTTTTCATAATGTTAAAGAAGAAGATAGAAAAGTGTTAAAAAGATATTTTAACTCTCTATCCAGCAAGGATGCTCAAGATTCGTATCTTGCAAATTTAATAACTTTAAATAACGTTTCAAGAAGAAGACCACGAAACATTAATTCAAAAGGTTATAATAGCAGTTACACATATAAACTTTTTATTACAAATCACGAGATATTTGCGAGTTCGTTTGTTTATGTTTGCTTTTCTGCGTTTATTTCAATCTTTGGCATAAAGAAGGGAAGATTGGAGACCATTAAAAGATGCCTTTTAACTACAGGTAAATTATATATTTTTATTGAATACAAAATGACTATTTTTAGTGGAAGTTATCTTATATATAAGTTTTTTTATATATAAATTTTTTTTTTCTCATTATAGGTCACTCTCCCTATGATAAAAGAGGTAAACACTAGAATCAGTATAACAATTTTACTCCTCAAATAAAAAATAAAATATGTGATCACATTTCTTCTTTCAGAGGTAGAGAGTCCCACTACTCTCAAAAAAAAACTAGGCGACTATACCTTCCTCAAGAATTAAATATAACCAAGATGTATGACTTGTTTAAAATCAAGTATGCAAATGATAAGCTGTCATATGAATCTTATCGCAACATATTTAACACTAGTTTTAAAATTTCTTTTGGGTACCCTAGGACTGACTCATGTTCAAAATGTGATGAGTTTAAAATTAAAATTGATGCAATAAAAATTGAACTATCTTTTAATTCAGAATGTACAAAGCCTGAACAACAATTGCATGAGCTTGAGTTACTGAAAAAACAGCACCACAAAGATGCAGAAACATTTTATGTCAGGAAAAGAAATGCTTGGTTTAAAGCACAAAGGGAGTACAAATTTGAGGCAATTGCTTTTGATTTCCAAAAAAATCTTAACTTACCAAATCAATCAACCAATGACTTTTACTACAAACGAAAATTAGCATTTTATTCATTTAATATTCACGTGCTTTCAAGTAATAAAGTTTATTTGTATTGTTATGATAAAACTATTGCTAAAAAAGGGGCTGATGAGGTAACTTCGATGTTATATGATTTTTTTATAAAACATTTAGACAAAGAATTTCGACCTGTAGAGCTACTTTGTGATTCATGTGGTGGCCAAAACAAAAACTATATATTAATTCGTTTTATGGATTTTCTTGTACATGAAAAAAAAAGGTTTGACTATATTAAAGTTATATTTCCAGAACGTAGTCATTCTTTTATGGAATGTGATAAAGATATGGGATTAATTAATTGCAAAACACCCACTAGTGATCCATCAGATTGGATTAAAACATTCAAAAATGCTTGTAAAAACCCCACTTCGTTTCATGTTATAGAATTAACGCAAGGTATGGTTAAAAGTATAACTGATTTTATAAGACCATTTTATAAGAATAAATGTCCAATTCCAACACGTCCTCTTCGTGAAATTTGTTTCAGAGGAGACTCAAATGGCATTGTATTTCATCGTGATTCGTGGAATGGATTATTGTTAAAAACTAATTTAAAAAATAATAGGAAGAACACTATAAATAGTGAGATCCCCATTCTGTATAATGAAAAACTTTGCATCTCTGTGGCAAAGTACAGAGATTTACAAGTATTAAAAAGGTTTACATCGATTGCTCAGTTTTTTGATTCTTTGCCATACAATCAGGAGGTTATTGAGACATTTCATGAAATTATTGATTCTGAAAATGAAGAGTAAATAGACTTCTTTTTTGATTTAAAGTTTGTTTTTAGTTATTTTTTTCTTAGTGTTTTTTGAAAAAATCTATAATCTTTAATGTTTCTTCTTTGCACTTAATATACAACAGTTTATATAATTAATAATCCCAAGGTATTGAATATATCTTTTGACTATTAGTCAGGGTATGAAAATAAAAATTCAGATCAAATAAATTCTGAGTTGTTTGAAAACCTATAAAGTTTTAAATCCCCTTTATTATCAGGAAAGAAACTTTGCATTAAATAACTTTTTGTTTACAGTTTTGTGACACCTATATAGGTATAGCTATATAGGTATTTAATAGGTTAACCTTTAAATAAAAAACAAATTGAACTTTTTTATCAACAGTGATATTTTTGAATGAAAGATTTATAATAAGAATTAAAGTCATTCGTAAAGGAGAACTAGAACTAATACTATAATCATTTTCTATACAAAATATTTACAGACAACTCTTGATATCTAGAAACTGCAAGGGACCGATTAATTAGTTTGAGATAAAAGATTTTTTGAGTTATCGAGAGTATAATCCATAAATAAGGGTTCGACTGGATTCAATAAAGTTTGAGATATCAAGTATTAAAGATATTGAGAGTTGACTGTAAGTGATATTTTTGTGCACGAAAAAAGAACAAAAATGAAACCTTTTTTTAATGAAAACTATAATTATTTTTTAAACGAAAATATCAACACTAAACAGTATTTTTAATTTTAGTTCAACCCCCTAATCTTTTAAATGATAAATTTTTGGTCTTGGTGGTTAGGTTATTTGATAAAATTAGCTTCTGCCTAATTTAATTTATAAGCTAATAAAAAATAATTCATACTTTAGCTTTTTACTTGATCTTAAAACTAAAAAAATAAAATTAAACATTTTACCGGGGAAAAAACGGCAGAGTCCACAAAAAACCTCATTTAAAAAAGAAAGTATATCACGTAAATTTTTATTTTTAAATTAGAAATGCAACTTTGACTGCATAAAAAATTGGTTATTTTTGTAATATATCTTAAAAATTTTAATCTTTTCCTTAAAAATAAAAAAGTTATATAGGTTTAAAAGTTTAAAAATGAGTTATCGCAAAATGAGAAAATGTGACCCTGCCGTTTCTTCCCGTGGAGTCTTCATATATATATATATATATATATATATATATATATATATATATATATATATATATATATATATATATATATATATATATATATATATATATATATATATATATATATATATATATATATATATATATATATATATATATATATATATATATATATATATATATATATATTATATATATATATATATATATATATATATATATATATGTATATATATATATATATATATATATATATATATATATATATATATATATATATATATATATATATATATAAATATATATATATATATATTTATATATATATATATATATATATATATATATATATATATATATATATATATATATATATATATATATATATATACATATATAGGTTTAAAAGTTTAAAAATGAGTTATCGCAAAATGAGAAAATGTGACCCTGCCGTTTCTTCCCGTGGAGTCTTCATATATATATATATATATATATATATATATATATATATATATATATATATATAGTATATATATATATATATATATATATATATATATATATATATATATATATATATATATATATATATATATATATATATATATATATATATATATATGTATATATATATATATATATATATATATATATATATATAATATATATATATATATATATATATATAAATAATATATATATATATATATTTATATATATATATATATAT